ACTTGTTCACATCTATAAAGTGAAAAAAAAACACAGCACTCACTTTCTGGTTATGAAATATTAAATTTGGGAAACTAGCTTTTGGTAATGATTTGTAAAACTCATACTTTGGCATACTTAGAAACAACTGCTTCAGAGGGCGCCAATCCACGGCTACTCTATAAAGGACTTCTGCTTTCGAAGTTTTACCAATTGAAGCTTTCTGAGCTAACTAATTTAATCAATTTATGTTTTGTGGAACAAAAAGAGAGAAAATAAAAGGTCATCAGTACTTTGTTAAAATAGAAATAACAAAAATAACTTTAAACAAAGTTAACAAGAAAATGAATTGGCAAGTTAAAATTCTACCCCCTGGCCCGATAAAACGTTCTGGCTGGCCATAGTAGGTGCATGGTTGATGGTGATTGCGAAGCTATTTTATTTGAGTTAACATTTTTTCCTGTCCGAGAGACAGAAATTTAATCGAACTTAAAATTTATTACGACGCCCGGTGGCTGAGCGGTAGCGCTTCGCGCTGTCGTGCCACGGATCCCCGGTTCGATCCTCGGTCCGGGCAAGGTTGACTCAGCCTTTCATCCCTTCAGTGGGTAGACAAATGAGTACCAAGCATGCTTGGGAACTAAACACTTGGGGTTCCGCGTTCGGCTGACCACCTGACCGAAACTTCTGCTCCTGCACCCCAGAGCCCAAGGTCAAGAAAACTGAGATGGGCACAGTAGGCCTTGGCCCTCAAGGGCTGTCGCGCCGCTGAGTTTAGTTTAGTTTAAAATGTATTACAATGTCGCTGAATTTTCTAGAAACTATAAATTTTTTAGGATCGTAATGAATTTTTTATTTTCAAAGATGCAGAGCTGTTTATTGTGAAAGATGTATTAAACACTTAGATATTTTTCTTTAATATCTGTATATGACTTCATCATAATACTAAAACAGTTTTAAAGATTTCCTAAAAGCTATCTAGTTCAATGAAGTGATTAAATTTCCAAGGTATTTAATACCTCATTTTGAAATAAGAGTACATGAGAGAGCAGCGATGTGGAACAAAAAATTTACGAGTTTCTTAAAAGAAATATTAAAAATATATAGTTTACTTCAATGTTTTATGTAAAAAAGCACAGTAGAACTCATTTTTTTTTATATATATTTATACAAGGAAATGTCAGAATATTTCTGATCCTATCTTATTGATGCAATTAAATGGACAAATTACATATTAATCAGTAACAATTACGAAGGTCATATTGTATTCACAATGTTAATTTTCAATTCATTACTAAATACTTTCAAGTATGAATGTTCTAAATAACTTTCAAAATAAATAGGTTTAATACAAATTTTATTATTGCATATGATTAGTCAATTAACTTTATGAAGTAGACCCAAGAATTCAATAATAACTGCTGCATTTTTGCACTAATGACTCAATTTTTATTTACAAATTACTGAATAATTATGAATAATTTAATAAAGTGGTAAACGTGGTTGGTTTATTACTGAACAATTGCCCGACTTATTTCAGTTTCTTCCATTTCTGTATGAAATACCAAGTAATTTTCAACTATTTTATAAGTTGGTTTAAATTTGGTATTCATTTTAGTGGGTTTTATTATGAAAATATCATTAAAACAAAAAATTAAACCAAAAAAGTATTCCATTTTTATTTAAATTGAGCTGTAAGAAAACAGGTTTTGAAATCTGAAAATTTCAAATTCTCAAATAAAGCATCAAATATAACATTTTAGATATTTTTTTTTAATATTTTAGAATATGCATGGTGCATCTCTAGATATGTATAAAACACAGGCGGAATGTTAAACTGCAATGATTAAATCAAAACGAATATTGAAGAATTCACAATTTTTTTCTTATAACTATTTTCTTCAGAATATTTAAATATTATTTTAATAAGCTTTTACATAATATTGAAATTAATATTGAACTAAATTATCGATATCTATATACTTTGTAAATTTGATAATTGATGCAAATTGTATATGAATATTTGCACTTCGAATGTTCATTATCAATCGGGTCTAAGCTGGCTACTCAAAATATTTGGAAAGAATTAATAACATTTTTCAGAACCTACAAGATTAGTTTATGTATTGTTATTGACACTTCACACAGAAGAAAGCTAAAACCTGCAGACAAATTGTACTATATTAAAGCATTTGGCTAATGGATGGCTTAAATCATATGAATTATACAAAAAGAATAATATCACCTCAATATATTAAAATCGAGCACTATTTATAAAAACATTGTGGGAAGTAATTCCGTATTTTTTCATTCTGCATTTTACAACACCAACATAATGCTTATTCAATTCAAATTTTGAGTTATCAATGCTATTTTAATAAGTAATTATAAATACAAATGAGAGATTAAGACTTAATGAGTTTTGAGAAATTTATTTTCCTGAGAAAAATCTGGAATGAGAGTAAGCAAAGGGAAAGCAAAAATCGAAACTCAGGAAATGCACTAAAATATTACATTTAGTTTGCATTTCATATACATGTTTATCTTGACAACCAATATAAAAATAAACAAATAAAACTGAGAGGCTTTATTTTAAAATAAAGACAAGTATATAAAAAGTGCTATTATTCCATTCCTTCCGTCAAGAACCAAGAATATAATGAAAATAGTAATGTTAAAAACAAACTTCCATATGCAAAAGTTCTATACAAAGTTTTTGTCAACACAAATTTATCAACTCCTCTGTCATCTACTTTAATATTTTAGTAACATCAAAACAATCTGGAGGTTATAAACAGGTTATTTTTATCTAGAATTTTTAATTGCTTTGCTTTTTAATAACAAAAGCAATACAAATTACTTTTAATTGGACCCTAATTTTGCGTTTGTATTTGTTCAAAAAAATTATTTTTATATTCTCCTAAAAAAAAGAAAGACAATTTTAAAATTTTTCAACTTCATCTTCGCTTGCGGTATTCGATTTTCTAAAAACAATTTCTAATGATTTTTTCATCTATTAATGTCGATGGAAATCTCTAACAATATTAGGAGTACATACGATTTTTTTAAAAAAAATTACTTTTGCAGCCATTGCTGAAGATGTAAAAGCAGGACAAAAAACATCTTTACAAGCGCTGTGGTGAGCAACTTGGCGACAGAGCTGATTCGCCAAGGATGCCAAGCTGATTCGCCATAATTAAGCGTACAGCCAAACTTTCTGATTCAAATAATGTGTTTTTGCAATTTGCATACTTCTATACATAATAATAAAAGCGGCTGTGTGTGTGTGTGTGTCTGTAATCACAATATATCGCCCCAGAAGCCTCGCCCAGGCACGAAACTCGGCACATAATTGTGTTTTGACATAATGAAGAAGTATTTTTTTTCTTTTTCAAAAATTTGGATTAGTTTTTTAGTTATCAGTCATTTTGTAAGAAAATCTATGCTTTTTCGTCTTCAAAGAGCCATATTCAAGAAACTATTAAAAAATGCATATACTTTTCTCCACTCTTATAAATGTATGCTAATGCGAACCTTACAATTGAAATATTAATTTTCGACAACTTAAACCAATAATATACGAAGGAATTAATAATTTAATTGTAAGGTTCGCATTAGTTTACATTTATCAAAGTGGATAAAACTTTAACTTTTGTACTAAAAATGTGGCAACATATTAGATACGTAAATAGAACGCTACGCTTTGATATATTTATCGCTGTTCATAATTGTTATAATAAGTTTTTCTTCTTCTTTCCACTCGCTTTTTTTTTTTTCTTAAGCGAAGACGATAAGGGAAAATTATACTTGAGGATGCCCCTTGGCGAAATTGGTGACTTATGTTTGGCGCTATTCCTGTTTGCGCGGAACACCGTGGTAACAGAAATAACGGCCAAAACATAATGATATTTCAAAAAACATTGGAAAATTTCAACAAAACATCGGATAAAGCTTGCAATGAACCCAATATAAGCAAAATTAATAAATCCAATAAAAAGGATTTTGAATCGAAGCAAAAATTAATGGAGTAGGTGCAGAAAGAAAAGGAAAAAAAAAACAACTCACTTCTTCATTAAGCTTGAATATACTCAGATTTAGGTGCACAGAATTATCTAATAACAGTTAGATACTGTCTAAATTTATCGTGAATAGAATCTGTGTACCTCCATCGTCACATAAATTCGGCGAAATATGAATCGAAAATGGCGTTTGTGGTACCGAACTGGTGATGACATTTTTTTATAAAGTCCCTTTTTATGACTGCCCACATACCTTCGATCTTATTGACCAGAAGTAAAAGTAACCTTACCAGCCGGTATCTAACGAAGAACTAATGGACCTCTGAAATTACGTATACCGTTGAACATTAATAACGCTAAAATCTAAACCGTTGAGAATCACGATTGGGTTTCAACATCGCCCAGCTTGGCGATCAACCGCGATCACAACTTGGCGAGAATCAAGGGGCACCCTCAAATATAGTCTACCCGACGTTAATTTTTGTAGCGATATAGAAATAGAAATTGATACCATAAAAAAATTATAGAGAAATAGATACCATAAAAAATTAATTCGTTTTCGTGTTCTTTTCATGTATTTAAAGCAACTTTTGTATGCTTTTACAATTTCTGAGGCCTTTTTTTAAGAAAAAAAAACAAGTCTCCACCTGATAGTTATATTATAGGTTTCTTTACCATAGCAAAGTTACATCTTCAAACATCCTCAAGAGCTATAACACATCTGCAGCAGAACTGGATATGAAGACAAAATTTCAGGACAGAAACACTTTAATTGTCCACTAATCTTCAGATTTCCTGCTATGTTTTAAAAAACTTTATTTGTGAAAACCTTTAGCGTGGCGGACAGCTGGCCGCCTTAGGCGGCTAGTTTAAAATAAAAAATTTCTTATCGTTATTGCTTAAATAATTCAGATAAATTTCTTGTTCGCATATACACACTAACTTTCATTTTATTACTAGAGTCCTTGCAACCCTATTTCTTCTAGAACCTTTGTTTTACAAGTACTGTCTAGACTAGCAACATTCTTACTAGACAGTATTAAAAATAATTTTAAAAATAAAAGTAGATATGTTTTTGCAATTTGCATACTTTTAAAATGAAACAAAATTTCTTATCGTCATTGCTTAAATTATTCAGATAAATTTCTTGTTCGCATATACACACTAACTTTCATTTTATTACTAGAGAAAGAGTCAAAACAAGTTTCCTTGCAACCTTATTTCTTCTTGAACCTTTGTTTTAACAAGTACTGTCTAGACTAGTAACATTCTTACTAGACAGTATTAAAAATAAAAGTAGATATGTTTTTGCAATTTGCATACTTTTAAAATGAAACAAAATTTCGTATCGTCATTGCTTAAATAATTCAGATAAATTTCCTGTTGGCATAATACACACTAATTTTCATTTTATTACTCGAGAGAGAGTCAAAACAAGTTTCCTTGCAACCCTCTTTCTTCTTGAAAATTTATTTTTACAAGTACTGTCTAGACTAGTAACATTCTTACTAGACAGTATTAAAAATAATTTTAAAAATAAAAGTAGATATGTTTTTGCAATTTGCATACTTTTAAAATGAAACAAAATTTCTTATCGTCATTGCTTAAATAATTCAGATAAATTTCTTGTTGGCATAATACACACTAACTTTCATTTTATTACTCGAGAGAGAGTCAAAACAAGTTTCCTTGCAACCCTCTTTCTTCTTGAAAATTTGTTTTTACAAGTACTGTCTAGACTAGTAACATTCTTACTCGACAGTATTAAAAATAATTTTAAAAATAAAAGTAGATATGTTTTTGCAATTTGCATACTTTTAAAATGAAACAAAATTTCTTATTGTCATTGCTTAAATTATTCAGATAAATTTCTTGTTCGCATATACACACTAACTTTCATTTTATTACTAGAGAAAGAGTCAAAACAAGTTTCCTTGCAACCCTATTTCTTCTAGAACCTTTGTTTTACAAGTACTGTCTAGACTAGTAACATTCTTACTAGACAGTATTAAAAATAACTTTAAAAATAAAAGTAGATATGTTTTTGCAATTTGCATACTTTTAAAATGAAAACAAAATTTCTTATCGTCATTGCTTAAATAATTCAAATAAATTTCTTGTTGGCATAATACACACTAACTTTCATTTTATTACTCGAGAAAGAGTCAAAACAAGTTTCCTTGCAACCCTATTTCTTCTTGAAAATTTGTTTTTACAAGTACTGTCTAGACTAGTAACATTCTTACTAGACAGTATTAAAAATAATTTTAAAAATAAAAGTAGATTAGCGGTAAAGTTACAAAATTGTCTGTAAGTATTTTATGAAATTAGTAAGGGAAGAAGGGAGAAACTTTTACAATTTCTAATAAGCTTAAATTTATTGCATAACAGTGTCCATTATTCTAATGCCACATTGGTCAAAGGGCATCTAAATAAAAAAAATATTGCTCAATTTTGCATTTAGTTGCATTGAAGAAAGGTTCTTAACTTCAGAGCCAATTGTGAAAATATGCCACCATTTTGTCTCCAAATAAAATGGTGAATCTAAATTTTGATCACATTGCGAGTACTTAGAAAGCTCAAGTTTTAACTGGTTCCTGAACTGAATTAAGAGAAGTTAATTCTTAAAATGAAATCGAAGTATCAACAACTTAAAATTCTTACACCGGCAAAGTAATTTTAGTCTGCAATCCTAAAATTATTGTAGAAACATAAATTCGATCGATTGGAAAAGTGACATTATTGGTTTAGCATTTCTTAGTTATTATGAAAATACAGTTTAACTAATATAAAAATGAACATTACGACCTGCTTTGAGAACCTCTAAACTGAACTCGTACCATCTTTGTTTTATCCGGAAGGCACTTTGAATCAACTATTCCAATGGTTCTTTTATTCCTGCCGAAGGATTTCTGTAACAAATAACACACTTTAATTGCTAGAAAAATGCTTAAAAAAATTAAATTAGCTTAGATATGACTACAAAATTTATAAAACTCATTTAAAATTAACGCAGAACGATCTATAAATTAAAAATAAACTAAGATAAAAATGTGTAAATTGAGGATATTGCATGTGTTTGACTTATTAAACTTTAAATTATTTTAAGTTTGTTACAATATCAAATCGTGATCATATAATCAATAATGAAATAAGTGGTTTTACACTTAACATTAGAACGAAAACCAATAAACGGTTCCCAATTGAATAGATATAGACGATCGAGATTTTCAAACTTTTTATTAAGACCAAAACTTTCGAAATGGATATTTAAAGTTTTTAATTAATTGATAAATTCTTTATCCATTAATTAAAAGACTTTTTATCTATTAATATAAAATCTCTTGAAATTTGATGCTTCTGCAATTAAAACTTTTCAAAATCTTGTTTTGAACCTATATAAATTTATTCAGACTAGAACTAAGTAAAAGCCCTCAAGATTTCCCTAGACGATAAGGAAATTCTGCAATTAAAAACCACCATTATCATTATACAATAATTTGAATTAAACAAATCATGAATATAACAGAAACCTAAGCAAAATATCCAGATAATTTAAGCCATTAATTTATTTAACAGATAATCTAAAAATAAATATGCAAAAACTGAAACCTTTTCTATCTTTAAGAAAAATATTTATCAATAAATAAAATTCAAACTTTATTCAATAAAAACTTTAGAAAACTTTCGTATATTTAAACAAAATTGCTTATTAAATTTAAAAGTAAAATCTTATGATCCAATTTTAATTACATTGAGTGAAGAAGTTTTCCGAGAAATTTCTGGTAGTATTAAAATAATTTAGGACTAAGCATTTAAGCATTTTAATAAGACGTAAAATTCGCGTTCAAAAGCTAATTAACCAGCGGAGAAAATAAATTTATCAAAAGAAGGTAATAACACAGAAACTTAACAAAATCGACATAATCAAGAATTTAGAATAATAAGTTTAAGTCTTAAGGTAACAAGACTAAAGTGAAATGACATTTTAAAAGAAGTATTCAACTATATTGATTTGGATATTCGAAAGCTTTAATTAAACAATCATACTAACTACTAAATAACAAAGAGTATAAAAGAAAGCAAACTTACAAGTGAAATAAACTACGACGAAGCGAAAACGCCCATCCAAAAATTTAATATATACCTAGAAACACAACACACTTTCCCGTATACTTAGAAGATACAATGTTTTCTACCCAAAATGAATCGCTTTTATAGAACGACTACTTCACGTGAGAACGCTTCCGTCCACTGTTTTTTTTCTGCCTTACTTTCAAATGTACTGAGATGCTAAGAGGCCTCCCTGGCCTAGCGGTATCGCCTGTCAAACGCAGTGTGAAGCGTGGGGGGTAGCGAGTTCGAATCCCGTCGTAACCCATGATGTATTCTTCGTGATGTCCTTCTCTAAATTGTTCTAACTGTCCTTCTACTTGACAAAGATTTAAAAGCCTAAATTGAGCAAATAAGCCTGCAAATTTATGTAGGTTCAATAAACCAATAATAAAGGGATGCTAAATTAGCCTGCGAAGAGTATCAACCTCCAACGATATGATCAGAAGCGTTGTGGTACAGAGTTCAAATCCCAACACACCCATGGGCTTATTGGTTTCACCTAAATTTGCAGGCCTGTGTGCTCAATTTAGGCTTATAAACTTTTGTCAACTGGAAGAGCAGAAAGCACAATACTCAGAGGGACAGCGCGAAGATACATCCAGTGTAACAGCGGGATTCGAACCCGCTACCTCAACGCTTTGCACAGCGTTTGGTGGATGAAACTGCTCGGCCAGGTTGGCCTCCACCATTGGGTATATCGTTGTGCTGTCCCTTTATCGTTTGTGGTATCTGTTCTCCTATGTGAGGTGAGTCTTTGCATATAGCACTCAAAGTTGCATATACTGGTGAATAAGTAAACAAAATAAATTTACTTTGTGAGAGGAAGCAAGGCCTTTATGACCTTTTGCTATAATTTTGAATTGTGGAGTGAGGTATAGTGTAAATTATAATTTTAAGGAGGAAGGAAGTTTTATAGGGGAAAGTTTTCGTAACCATGGTAACAGGAGAGGAAAATCATGTGATTTTGAGACTCATATTAACAAAGAATATAGCATGTTCCTATTAACAGATTAAATTACATAAAACTGAAAAAAAGTACATAAATACGTTGACATGTTGCAAAATTTTAAGATGCGTTGAAGTCTTACATTAACCCCCGAAAGCAGGTACTTGTTTCGCATAATATGCTTTATTCAGAAATTTAGAGTATTTAGAATATTGAAAAAAATAAATCTAAATTTTAGCTTCAATTAACATTTTTCTGTGTAAAAACTAACAGTTAATTGGAAATGAAGTAAAGCTTTAAAAATATAATATAAGATACTTACCGAAACATTTAGTTTTTGTCACTTTTTCTTTCACAAAAATTTCAATCTAAAATTCGTCGCACTAGAGCTGCACAATGGGCTATTAGCGACGGTCTAGGAAACATCCCTGAGGATGATCCAAGGACATCCCCTCGTAATTTTGATCCTCCGCTGAGGGGATGGCACCCCCGCTTTGGTGGCCCGACGACCTGCACACGAGCGAGCACTTTACGATCGGACAGTTTAAGGAGGACCCATACCGCACACCCTCGGTCACACACTTGGATCAGTCTCGCAGACAGATCCAAGTGTTCACCCACCTGCACACTGATCGCAGACAGTGATGCTTCACTTCGGTGATCTGCTGTAAATGCACACGGGGGCAAAATATATTTTCTATTAGTGCAGATTTATACCTTGCTTTATCTTGCAAATACAAATGGGCGATTCTCAAATGATTCGCAGCAAATTTGATATACGTTTGTTCGAGAACGCGTTGCGTCGTTCGACACTTTCTGACTTATACCTCCCTCAAAAAACCAGTTTGTGGAATATTATCCACTGTAAAGAAGAAACAAAATAGTTTTCCGTAGGTTTAAGTAAAAATATTTTTCTGGCTTTAAGCTTTATTTCACCGAAAAAGAGTTTCATAGGTAATTTATAGCACGTTGTTTTTTTAATTATTTAACTATCTCATTCTCTAAGTCCGATTAGAAAAAATATAATTAATATGGATTATTTCATTTTGCGATGTGTTGCATTATCGAATAATAAACATTCTTAAAAGTGCATGTACAAAACGCTTTCGCTTGTTGATATTAACGCTTTTAAAACTCATTTTTATTACCTTAAACTATATCAAGTTACTATTGATTTTAAAAAAAACGTGAATAAAAGGTAAATTAAATGTATGTGCTAAATGCCGATTCATCAGAACATTTTGATTGTGATAAATCTTGACTAGCATTGTTTTAATAATACTAAATAAATTTCATTATTCTTCAGAGGGGTCTTTAGAGGATTTCTTTAGGATTTTTCCTTCAGAGGATTTCTTATGAATCAAATTACTTTACATCTGATAATGTAAAGACACCGAAAAAGAAAGCAAGCTGTTTACAAAGCATACCAGTCTGTAAAATACTATTTTAATCTTTGTAATTTAAATATAAGCGCCTCTAGTTCATACGATTTTTCTACTACCCACACTTTCCCCTTTGCGTTATCATGCTAACCGCAAATCTTACTTTTTTTACGGCAGTAGTTTTCAATAGAGTCGGGACAGCCTGGTTGGTAGGACACATGCCCCATGTCCAAGAGGTCGTGGGTTCGGCCGAAGACTCACCGTGTAGTAAATGGTGACTGAAGCACGTTAAATCTGTCGAGTCTCAAAGTCCTCCATGTTCACATAGCAAATCAATACCTCTGGAAGTACTGATCTAGGAGTTTCCTTGTCTTCTGGATTAGGTTCAAAATGACAAAGCAACGGAGTTGAACATTAGCAGTCGTAAATACAAAATTGGGTCGGCTGTTCAACGACGGTTATAAAATGAAATAAAAAGTAGTTTTCAATAAGAATTTAGAATGCACTGGCATAAAATTTAGAATGCATGCACTTTCAAAAAACTAAAAAAAAGTACATAAATAAGTTGACATGCTGCAAAATTTTAAGTTTTTTTTAAATTCTTTCATTAACCCCCGAAAGCAGGAACTTGTTTCTCCTAATACGCCTTATTCCGAAATGTAAAGCATTTAGAATAATACGAAAATAAATATAAATTTCAGCTGAATTCTAGATGCTTCCATTAAAATTTTTATGTATGCTTATAAATGTTATATTTTTATATGTGTGTTTTTGTTCTTTACTCGCTTGATTTTATTTTAATTTTACAACCCGAGTGATTCACTAAGGAAAGCGCGAAATCTTTGAGAAAATCACTGCGTTTACCTTCTATAAAAGAAAAAAATATTTAGTATATTGCGAATAATACGTTGAATTGTTTTACGCTGATTTATTGCAAAGTTCGATAAAAATAAATAGTTCGATGTGTTAAAACGGATAGCAATTTACTGGAAACGCCGAAAACACCAATTAATCTCTGTTTCTCATTTAAGAGAGAAAATGTAAAAGTGTTGTTATATATATACGAGAGACCGCTTGTGAAAAATAAATAAAAAGCAAATGAAGCGAAACTGTTCACCTTTAAATCGCTTTTTAAACAAATTGTGATAATTAATTTTTTGCGAAACATGAAATTAATTCCAGGCAAAATTACTTTTTCTGATTGAGCAGAATTCTCTAATGAAATTAAAAATGGAGTACGTAGTACGTAGTATATATATATATATATATATATATTGAGAGTATTTAACAAATCCATCGAAGAGTACGTAACTGCATGAAACCCATTAATTATTCCTTAACTTAGCGTTCCGTGGACTGCATTGCGTAATAATTCTTCATAATAAAAGATAGTAAATAACTTAATAATATATATATATATATATGTTGGCAATTTTATCCCCAACTTATGGTGTAGGCGATTTTGAAGGCTTAGGTCTCTACAAAAAAGTCATGTGTGGTAAGTCATTTATATTTTTTTTATATATTTAATAATGCTTAAATAATTTTCTGAGGGGGAGGCTAACGATACTCGTAACGCTCGCTCGTGCCGCTTTTCACGCTCATTAATAAGCGCAGGCGAATTTTTACATTACGAAATTAGACTCGAAAACGTACTTTCTCTGAATACCTTTTTACAACGGATTCGGATTTCTGAGCCCCAAAATATAGGGGTTAGCCGTAATCTGAGAAATTCAGTCCCAATAGTTCGGTCAGGAGGGAGATTGTAAGTTTTGACCCTTTAATGTTTATCTAATTGTTTGGCTATTTCGCCATATCTTGACTATTTTTAAAGCGAGTTGAAACATTTTTATAATTCGTATACCCAAATTATAAGAATTATTATATAATTTGTACAGCCAAAGTTACTTCCATTCATAAAATAACTAATTAAATATTTATTATTTTTTAATTATTTTATTTAATATTAGTCAAAAAAAATTTGAGTAGTAAAATATACAATTTTTTTTCATCATTTTAAGGAATATAAGTGAAGATTCGATTACTAGATCAAAAGTTAACCAGAGTCACCATTTTTTTTTTATTAAATAAAATCTAAATTGCTTCGGGAGCGATACACATTTTTGGCACAAGAGCCATGATTTGGCTTCACATCGCCAAAATTTAAGTTTAAAAACATGAACAAAGCTCGTTTTAAATGCAACCATAGGAGTTTAGTAAAAGAAACTTAAAATTAATTATTAATAGTGCAGCACCTGATTGTCAATTATTACCATAATCAACAATTGACTCCGGTTCTTGTCCTATTCGGTCGGCTGTAAAAGCCTATTGTCACAGTATAGTCACAGTACTTACAGTAGGAATCGAGGTACCTATATTAGTGCCCAATTCGAAATTTTAGATAGTCCCATCAAAACGTTTTGATGGTTTGTGTTGGTTTTAGTACGATTCGTGATGGTTCAACATCCACTTTGGATTCATGGTTTTTGCATGCTAACAAACTTCCATCATTCTCTGATGGAAAATGCTACTTTAATAATATGGCGGATCAAGAAGAGTTTGATTCTAACAATCCATGATGATCCGTTCTCAGCAATATACCATCAAAACAATTTGGATTTATTTATGTTGGATCATCATAAATCAGTCCGAATTCTTACTTATGATCATGATTACTTATGATTATGTTCATGATCGTTCCAACATTTGATTTCTTAGATGGAAATTTCTAATGGTTCAACATGAACAAAC